ACCGTGCGCCGGAACCCGGAAACGGCGGAAACGGAATGTGTTCGATACGGTTACGCCGCCGTGCCGAGTCGCGAGTAAAATGTGCACAAAACCGTCAGCTGTTTGACCGTCGTTTCTATTATTAGAACATTTTATACGGCTTTATTCCATAGATAATATATATGCTTTATCCAACTGGCGGACTTTTAAATTTTAAATATTTTAATCTCCTCAGCAGTGGTGCAACTAGGGGGGTGCAAAAGGTCTTTAGCACCCCCAAGTTAAAATTTAGCACCCCTTGTTTTTTATATGTAATTATTATTATATACCTAATATTATGAATTTTATGTTTTTAAATGATAAGATATTTCCTGAAAAAATGTATAACTGTTTGGTCGTATAATATAATTTGTTATTTATCTTTGTTGAATATTGAAAAAGATTTATTCAATCAGATAAACACCGAAACTATTTTGAATAAATATTGCATGAAACCCATAAAAATTATGCTGATTTCAAATGTATAAATTATTATTTATTTAACAGGATTATGAAATTAAAATGTTTCAATATGTTTCTGATAGTGTAGTAAAAAAAAAGAGTATTATAATTATAAATGTTGTTCATTTTTTTATTTTTGTAAAAAGTCTTAATATATWTTTTACAGTTTTGATGTATCGATTAAAGTTGGTCTATGTGTAGGGGGTATGGGGGYTTTGCCCCCCACGGCCCTTTGATGTATTCACAGATTTAGCACCCCTCCTTTTAGAGATCTAGTTGCGCCTATGCTCCTCAGTCAGTTAGGTGCGTTCAAAGGTTCAAACTGTGAGCGAGCTGCCCCATTTGTGTGGTAAGCTGACCGTGGCGGTTGTATTGTTATTTGTWTTACAGAAACCGCACAAGCAGCTCGTTTTATGTTTGGACGCGACTTTGGTCGTTGCCTCTGGCTCCATTCAACTTGTTCAAGAATTGGTCCATCGCTAGTGGACGTCTAAATTCAAGAATTCATTCTCAGCATTGCGAAAGTARTTTTTTTTCCATAATTTACTAAATTGAATTATTATCAAGCTTGATAATTAAATAAAATCAATTAATCAATTAATTAATTGAACTTTTGAAAATCCAAATTTGGTTTGTTTCTAAATAATACTGAAACTGTATGGTAATAACTTACCATAGTATAGGTGTTTTATTAAAATTTCGTTATCTCATAAAAAGAGACAGGATTATCACGTTTTTTACATCCTTAATTGAGGCTATGTATTATGATTTGGATGAGGTTTTATTTAATAACAAATACCATAGGCGCAACTAGAGGCCAATCACTGGAGGTGCTAAAATTATGYAGAGGACACCTGGACACAGACTCGTGGGGGCATAGCCTCCACACCCCCAAACAYCAACTATACAACAATTTTATAATTATTATAATCATTCCAATCCACACTATAAAACCATAAGCACACTAATATTTAAGTATAAAAGCTATAGTACACCACACCGTATACCTTATAAATACATTAGGTGTAGTTGTGTAGTATATTATTGTTTAAGTGATAAAAATAATAATAAAGTTTAAACTGAATATATACATATATGTATAATACATAATAATATTATTTTATACTAATAATAATTTTCTATTCTTAGTAGAATACTTTTCTAGTATTTCTGAAGAATTAATTTTTTTAACAATGTCTCTTTCGATGTTTAAARTTGATAAATTTGTGAACCGCTGTTGTTCCATACTTGCTCTTAGCCAGTTTTTTAAAGACACATTGATGAGAAGCTTCTCTGTTACCTAAAACCTTCATATCTTTAAATGACATTAAAATTACTGCTGATTGAAGAATTTATTACCTATCTATGATTGCAACGATATAAATATATTATATTATATTATATTCTTAATTCTACAATAATTGTATGTTTTAAATAAATACCTAATATATGATATAACTATAATCATCACAACCAATTTGTGTTTCTCCTAATAAACGTCAAATACAAAAAAAAACATTTTTTTCATGATTTTTAAATTTTTAGTGGTTTTGGTGTGGGGGTGCTAACCTAAAAAMGCTGGGGGTGCTTCAGAACCCCCAAGCACCCCCCTAGTCGCRCCTATGAGTCAAATACTCAATTAACATTTGGTTTTGCATAAAAATGCATATTTGAACATTTAAGAATATTTTACACATAATGACATTTTATAAGAATAGTTTATAAAAAAAGACWTTTTTATTACATTTTATTATTTTTATACACCTCTAGTATTAAAAATATTAGTGTGATTTATTTTTCTGTGCCTGCATAGGGAATGTGGAAAATCGAGATTAGTAGAAGTGCAGGTCAGATGACCAACCCCTTATTGCTTATAGACTATAGTTGTAAAGAAAAGGGATGCCAAAGAAAAAGTGAGGTATAAATTTGCCTAATTTTGAACATTTAAAGATAGATGTGTCATATTGTCATAAATTGTTACAATTTTTTTGAGTTTTAATGAAATATGTTTGTTCAATTTGTTAATTGATYTGATTTGTAAGTTGTAACAGTGTTTTTTTTTCATATAAATTTAACACAATTTTTTTTTTAAATTTATTGTTACMTACCTTGTAGTTCTATTACCTAAACTTAATATTTAACACAATAACACATAAATCATAATACATAATACAACTAACGACTTGATTATTAGGTGTTACCTAAAGAGTATTAAAAGAATATTCCCCTGTTTTTTTACTTCATAAAACATCTTATTTCACCATTTATATGTAAAAACTTGTTCTCTACTCATGTTTTTTTTAAATTACTTATATTATACTATATTATACTCATTTAAAATTTGACAAATATTTTTAGTTTTTTCATTAACCATGTTACGTTGCTTGTAAAAACACTGATAATGCAACACAATTATTGTCTTCAATATTCATTGTAATCRCTAGGGCTAAGATTTATATGTATTAATATGTTTCTTTTTGCTTAGTCTGATGAACCACCCAATATTGATATATAAAAGTACCTATGACCTTTTTTATTTTTATATTTGAAGTAAAAAACATATCATTTCATATTTAATCTGCTAACAAGATAAATGTATGGAAAATTAGGTGCTTCATAATCTCATAAATTTGTTTTAAAATATATTGATAATCGTTTAATATATTTAAGAGCAAGACTAACTTGATTTAGCTTGCATATAATGCAACTTAATATATATATTAAAATATTAGAAAATGCTACTATTTTATATATGTTGATGGTTTAAATAGTAATGGTGAATTAATTGTATTTTATAATATTTGTATATTATTTTTGTTTCTATAGTTTTGTCAAAGTTCAAATTGCATAAAATGAAGTTTCATACCAAATTACAGCGAAACCTCCAAACATCGTTGATACATTGTTTTAATGAAATGGGTGGTAAATTGTTATGAGAATCATATTGTACTTTAAAACTGCTATACAAAATTAACCTTACAATAATCAATGGTCTTATGATGAAAATTATTGAATAAATATGATTATGTAATAAATAATATGTATTATAAATAATAATTACTTTTCTGTTTGTTTTCACTCATGAATTCTTACATTATTTTGGTAACAATAATATGAAATGTATTGATCTAGTATTTTGTAAGTTTCAATTTGATCAAGTACTTTCCTAGTTGTAACATATTATTTTATTAAATAGTCGTATTTGTGTATTAATGTATCTTATCTTCTTTTTTAATTTATATTATTTAAATTAATATATTTCGACTATTGCAATATAAATATTAAGTTAATATACATTTATTAAATAAAAKAACTACTAAATTAAATAGGTACAAATATAAAYGTTTTCAATACATCAAGCTATCCATRCATATCAGAATATTCTATCACCTAAATTATTTTTGATAGTTTTTTTTTTTATTTATACTTACTTCTGTAGAAAGTGTATAGATTTTTTTAGGTGCAAAAGTATGTTTGGATAATGGATAATAATTGACTGTATAACATAAGTTATCATAACAGAGATATGAGAGGGAATTTACATTTTTTTAAATTGTTAGAAGAGTTGAATTATTTTAGATTTAGATTACAATTGTAATTGTACCGTTGATGTTAAGAAAAATAAAAAATTTACATTTATAGGTACTATTATAGATAATATCTATGAATAAATGCAATTCATAACAATTATTTTGTACAACAAGACTGATGCAAAGAAAGAATTAGTATTTTTAACTGAATTATTATATGAACACACAAACATTATATGCATCATGAATCTCATTTAATTAGCTAACTTATTTAGTTTTCACTGATAAATTTTTTTAAATATCATTACAAAATGCCTTTCTTTAGTAACAGGACATAATAGAATAAAATACACAGATACACTGGATCAGAATACGATCTGCATATGAAATGAATTTTAAATAAATCAGTTATTAGGTTAAATGTTGGTTATCAACATTTAAAATAGGATAATTTTTACCAGGATAACAACTGAATTGTATAATATGAAGGGAGAGGGATTGTATACTCAGAAYACATAGAAGTCCCAGTTTATTGGGCTGGGATAATTCAGAGATAATTATAAATTACAAATTTAAAACTGTCACTTTCTTCCACCACTTCTGGATCAGMTACTGGGCGTGTTAAAATTTTACAAGTTTAATAGGACTTCAGTTATTGTTCGATCATCAAAATTGATAATTTGTAAGTTATCACTTGACTATGTTTAATAACAAGTTTTAAATTTTAAATACTAAAGGAAAATAGTCGAAAAACAATTTTTATAATACAAGGTTTTCAATWAAATATAAGATACTTTTTAAGTATAATATAGCTGAATATTGTTTTTGACATCATTAAAAAAGAATTGTTTTGTTTAGATAATATTTTTTWTTATTGTTATTGTTTTTTTTTCAATTTACGATAAAAGCAAAATAGGCAAAGCTAGATAAATAAATGATAACTGATATTACAATAATTACAACATGTAAATTAATACCATTATAATAATCAATAATAAAAGTTTTGTTTTGGTATATTTAATACATGGCCTAATTATATTAAAAACTAAAAATAATTACAAGTAATCATCTTTAGACAAATAATGGCTTGAAAATAAAACAATATTTTGCTTTTAAGAAACATCCACTGTTTCACAAATACAGCTGGCAGTTTCAACTCATAAATTTAGTATTAGTGAACTACTACATGTCAAAGAAAGACRAAAATGACTACGTTTTCTTAGCCTTCCGTTTTGATTGAGTTTCCTGAAACATTCAATGACAAAATTAAATATAGCAGTCAGGCGAGTAATGTACAGTTGATTTATTTTTACATTTGGCATTGTATATATAGATACAGGTAGTTTTTTTATAGTAGTAAAGTTCATTATATATTTTAAGTGGATGGCCAGCAAAGTAGCATGTTAATTTAAGGTACTTTTCAATACACAATAAAGTATTTAATCTTAAAAAAACTACTTAAAAATAGAGATGTTACGAACTGTTTGATTTTTGAATCGAACCGAACTGGAAATTCCAAATAATCAAACCGAACCAAATATCTAATAGTTCTGTTCGATAATCGAACCAGGTAATAAAAATAAAAGTCGATGGAGTAATGGCTAAAATTATAAATTATTATTAAATAATTAATAATTAATAGATTAATATATATATATTAGTTGTTTATTGTTTGCTTGTTTTAAATATTGATGTTTTTTGCTTTTTCTTATCAGTTATCATCATATTAATAATTAAAAATTAAAAATCTCATGCATAATAATTATTAACTAGGTATTAAAGTATTTAAGTAAATAGTGGTAAAATCTTTATTAAATAATTYTGAAGTATGGTGGCTACATGATAAATAAATAAATCTTAAATAAAATAATATCCAATTTAACTTTTAATGTTTGGTTCGAGTTCGATAAAATATTTGAAAAGTTCGGTTCGGGTTCGATTAAAAGTGTGTAGGTTTGGATCTGTTCGAGTTCGTTAATTTAAAGAAAAGTTCAGTTYGGGTTCGGGTTGACCTTAAATATTATGGTTCGTAACATCTCTACTTAAAAACCTTTGAAAAAAAAATATTATACAACTAACTGGTACASAATTTTGATCAAGTTTGGATTAAAATTACGTAGGCAGGCTCCTAGCCCCATTTTTTCTTTTTTACTAAMACCAATTTTATGCGCATTATAAGCATTTGGTGAAAATTTCAATTATTTACAAATTACAATGATTCATTATTGATTAATAGTAAAATAAAAAAATTTGATTTTGTCGAAAACTGATTATKCATAAAATATTCCAGTGTTGTTGTCACTTTTTTTTTGGGCTTTTCTTGGTGCTTTTGAAAACTACTGAACCTTGTTAAAGAGGGGCTAAAGTTAAAAATCAAAGCACTATCTTTACTCCAAAAAGTGATAACAGACACACACACAAAAAAAAGCATACATCATTGTAAAATAAATACATTGTTCACTTCGTTCAGAATCTAAAATGTAATACCAATAGCCAGTATGGTAGGAACTAAAGAATTATAGAAAAGTTTTATTACTTGAACATTACTTTAAATATTTAAATATTATTTTAGTTCATTACTTTATTATTGTTGGCCCTTATCAGTCGTCTATACTCAATATATTATTTATTGTCAATCATCAATAAAGAATAATTCACTTTACTAGGAACAATTTCATTGAGATTATTTAAATTTAAAATTAATGATAGTAAATTCTACAAAAATTGATCAAATTCACCTATATTAATATTATTATATAMAATGTTATTAATAAATATATATATATATATGTACCTATAATGTAAAATATAGATTTAAATTTTAAAATATCTATTTAGAAATTTTTTTTATATAAAGTGAATAATTCTGGATTTATAGTATTATACAGAATACAGACAACTGACAAGGATTAATAATAACATTTTAAAAGTCAAAATAATAATTTAAACCATTAAAATCTATTATTTTAATCAAATTGGTAGGATAAAGTATGATCACATTTTGACCATATCTCCTAAAATACTCTAAACAGTAAWCAGTTTCGTTCATTATACACTGCCGTATGCCCATAGGTATGTAAGTGACATTTTATCGGTTTATCCAACCTCATTTTTATTGGAAATTATGAATTATATTATCTTATTAATCCTTATATTATACATAATATTTTACTTTTTAAAACTAACATATATAAATTGAAATTTTTTTTTTAAATAATTAAAAATAAAATTTAAAAATATTGTAAAATATTGCAAAATTTGTTGCCTCTCRTTTCCTYAAGCTCCAAAATATGTTGAAGTACAATATACTATTCGTGTCATTTTTTATACACAACTATATTAGTTACACTTATTTTAAATTAATTTCTCTTGACTCTAATATCTTATTTAATGTAAAGGAACAAATAACTAATTAAAAATACAGCATGATAATTACCTTGGGCTTTTTAATGTCAGCCTTTTTGGGCTCATGTTCATCAACAGACTTGTTTTCAACATTATTTTCAATGGCAGATTCTACTTTGTCTCCATTAACTGATGAATTACTGCTTACACCAGTATCATAAGCAGGTTCATCAGATGTATGTGATTGAGATGATGAAGGAGACTCTGGCGACATATCTTCTCCATTTATAAGTGATTGCTGCTCACTTGAGTCCTTAGATAATTTCAATTGATTTTCAATAGCTGACTGTAGTATCTCTGAAGACTGATCCGCTGAAATAGAACCATGATATGAATACAAAGTCGGCCAAAAATTTAGACTTATTTACATTTAGATTTTGCATTATCAGTACGTGCGAACCATTCTGCCATTGCACACATACTGTGATCTGTAAAACGTTCAGCCATTTCTCCAGATGCCATATCTGGTGGTAATTCCGGCATTTTTTTTCCATGTTCTAACTTAGACAAAAGTGCCTGTCGTTCAGAGTGAAGAGTTCGACATAATTTTTGCAAGGTACTCAATTGTMGAGTAGCTACAGACAAATCACTAATCATTCTAGTACGTTCAGAGGTCATTTCATCTAAAAGCTGCTGGCAACGCTCATAACGCATTTTCCAACTAGCTGACTCTTTTTCTTGTTTAACTATTTTTTTTGACATCTATGAATAAAAAAAATATAATCAATACAAACTAATCATATATATATATATATATTTAGTTTTTACTCACTAATTCCATATCTCCTTTAAACCCAGCAAAAACTTTATTGCTCCGTGCTAGAGCATTTTGAAATTCTTCATATTTTTCATTATACAGGGAAATTTGGTTTCGTAAGTCTATTTCAGTATTCTGCATTTCCTCAATTCTGGTTTGATATAGTCGTATTTCCTTTTTAAAATAAAAAAATGTGTTATGTAACATGCAATTTTAATAAATTTATAGGCATAATCAAATAACTAATGCAAAATTACAAACCTTTAATAATTGAGTTTTCTCATTTAAAATAGTTTCTCGTTCTACACTGATTTCCATGTTTGCTTTGGCCAGCTTAGCATCACATAATTGAGTCTCAAGCTCAATTTGTTTAGCTAATTTAACTACTTGCTACAACAATTAACAAGTATTCTATACTAAGAATTAATTCATAATTAAAACTGTACAATAGTTATAATAAAGATAATAATAAACTTGTAAGTGCTTACAGCGCCATTTACCTGTTCTCTAAGCTCATACTGTTCGCACACATTCTTAAGCCTAGAAGACATGTCCATGTTATCATCTCGAAGCTTGTTGTTTTTCTCACTATTTTGTTGCATTACTGAAGCTATTTCACTTAATGTGTTTTGAAATTTATTTGTCATTTCCATACGTTTATCTTCAGCTTCTTTGACACGTTTCAGACTCTCTTCCTGAAAAATAAAAAATCATTGTTTTAACTAATGAAAAAAATTAAATATTAAATTTATTTCGAATTATTACTCTTATTGCTTTATTTTGTTTCTGCAATTCTCTGCACAAACTTTCCAATCGACTTCTGGTCATAACTGCTTTATTCATTTCACCTCTGACTATATCACGCTCTGTTAGTGCCTGAGATACTTTTTTTTCAGTTTGTTTGTAAGCAGTCTAATATTCAAAAAATCAAGATATATTGAAAATAAAATAAATATCGCTTTTTTTAACTTTTAAAATTTAATTTACTTTAAGCTTAGTGTTTTCTTCCATCAGATCTGCATACTTAATGCACAATGCTGCTAGTTTTTCTTCTGGTGTATTTAAAGAATTCATACTATTCAAAACAGTTTTTAATGCTTGAGCTAAATGACGATCTTTTTTTTTACGGTTCTTATCATTAGACGGATGATTTGAATCTGCTATGTCTAACTCGGAAGCTTGAGTAGCAACAGATGTGCTATCAACAGCATCTGCCTGTTTAAGTGAGGTTTCAGTAATTGTAGTGGAAACGCATGACGTATCTTTTTGATTATTAGGCTGAAAAATAAATTATAATTAATTAAAAACTACAGTTACAATAAAATTTTTACAAAATAGTACTAACCTGAGTAGTCTTGTCGACAGAAGGTTCTTCTGACACGGTAGATGTAGTCTCCATGTCAATAAAATAAACCAAGTATTTTATATGTTAAAAGAACAGTGCATCTATCTAAATTATCTTAAAATGAAAACAAAAGTATTAGTTAATACAATTTTAAATTTTAAAGCTGGATGTGAAGCATATTATATTAATTGGTTAAACATTTTACCTATTATAACAGATATATAAATCACAGTATTAAAATGTAATGATATGGTGTTAAAACTTTTAAAACTATCTATTTAAATACACAATATATTACTATAGTTGATGGTAATAATGTAGTATCGTCTAATAGAAAAACCAATATAGGTTCAATTTCAATTTGTATAATTGTTTTTTTTCCCTTTTGTATCAAGAGCCAGAGAAGGAACCGCGTTAGTATTACTTCTCCTATTGCATAATTGTTTAAAATTAAGTTTTTTCAAAATATTTTCTAGGGATAAACTAGGTGCAGTGGCGGCTTGAAGGGAGTATATTTGAATCACGTGATTCACAAAAATATTAATGGGTGGTTGGGTGGGTAGGTCTTATGGTTGGAAAAGGTAGATTGGACCATTTTTGCAGGTTGGTATTTRAATATTAAATTATAAATAATAAATATAATATGTGTACTCAGCAGATWATKTACAATAATAAGTAATAACTAATAACTATATTTTAGGGTGGGTGGTGTAAAAATATTAAACGTGATTCGGGGGAAAAAAAGTTCAAGCCGCCACTGACTAGGTGTATCTATCCCCTTACTTGATGTTATGGAAATATTGATTTTCACTGATTACATTTTAGTATAACTAAGAAGTGTGAAATACCTTATGCCTATTAAAGTGTGTTTGGACCGTCTGTCTTAGAATTAGGTACAGAACAAAAAACCAACAGGGAAATGGATGGAACAGAGACCGGTATCGTGCAGCAACGGGTGGCTTAAGAGTTCTGTAGAGATGGGATAAAATGCAAACAGATATTACAACAAGAAGATGGATAAATAGATATCTTTGGATGTACTCCCAAAGAGTAGCAGACGACAACATCCAAAGTGGCCAACGAAGCGCGTGGTCAGTCGATGTGGGACACGACTTGGGTATCTACCAGTTTGAAGGAATGTGTTCTTGAGAGGAGCCGACGGTAAAAATTTAATAACCGATCGTGAATAATAACAATAACAATAATAGTAATAATAATAATAATAAATAATATTATCGCATTCACTGACCGAAATGTAAGCACGCCGGATGATTAATGTTCGCACTTTGTCGTCGTAGTCTTCGTCCTCGTGATCGGGCGGTGGCGGTGCGAGCGATTGGCGACGACGGAAGCTATACTATTAAAATGCCGAGTCCGGACTAAGTATATGGCGCTGGGCGATAATGCACTAGTAAATGACCTAAAACGGTAATCGGTCAGTGCGGGACAGAGTGGACAGACCCGTACGAAGAAACGGGATGGGTAACGTCGGTTACAAATATATATGTTTATATATATATACTATGTATATTGTTATTAATATATATATATTTAAATATATGTATAATATACTCTGTGGTTATGTCGTGCTCGTATGTGTACGTATCCAAAGGGTCTGTTGCTGTGGCGGTAGAGGGGACTGGACGACAGGTAGTGCCGGTAGTGGTGGCCGCGGCTGGTCCCGGTGACGGATATGAATATCGAGCCGGCGCGCCGGTGCCCGCGATACCCGCCCACGAAATGGTCACACTGTAGATAGCCGCCGCCTTTTTTCAAAATCCCAATTACATTATCACTATATATTATATCTTGATTCTTGTTGTGGACAAATATCAACTCAGTACGTTGTAATAACTCAAAAATAATGGTGCGAAAATAATTTCGAAGCCCAACATATATTTATATTTAAAAATATCTGAAAATACCCACTTTTTTAGTWTCATATTATAGATAATATTGATTCAAAATTATCGAACTTCAAAAGAACCGTAAATTTTAGAAGTAGAAAAAGTAGAGTTACACCAAAAACGACATGGCAGGTGGTGTAATAGATGCCGACGTGATATGCCATATCTCCATTGAAAAGATTATGGTTCTGAGCACTGAATTTTTTACACGATTTAGTGTATGTTTATCAACAAYATCAACACATATAAACATATTACATACTTAATATAATAGTCATTTAAAATACTCTGTGACGAGTGTGACGACTAATGATATGTCGATATATATACCTCTATCTTGTCTGTCACGCCTTATGCGTATACGATATTTAATATATCCACACAGTCGCAATTTAAATTTAAAAAAAAAACTAAGGGTGCTAAGCTATGCATTTTCTCATATTAATTTTGTGTTTAGGAAAAAGCTTTTATTACAGAACCAAGAAAATTATTTGAGGGTGCTCATTTTAAAATTGGGGTACTAACTACTAATACCCTCTTAGCTCTTCCCCCTATTTTTACGCCTATGCAAACCACTGCAATGCACATAAATAGAATAACAGGTAGGTTGGTTCCTAACTATTTTTTTTTTGTGACACYGCCACATGGGAACGGAACTTTTTGTATATTGCTTGACCTCCATATGCAGCATACAATTTATTTTACAATAAACACATAGTGAAAATATAAAACCTGTACCTATCCCGTGTGTCCGTGGTGTAAATTATCTCTACTAAACCTCTACTAAACCCTAAGCACCTGTGGCGTATTTATGGGGGGGGGGAGTGCTGGGGGTTTCCTTTAATTCAAAGAATTATTGAATGCGTCTGGAGACCTTAAATTTTAAATATTTAAATATTATAATAATAATTATATTTATAATTTATTGTATTATGATATGACTACTTAGTGGAGGCTTATATCAAAAGATGTTAAATGCTTAAGAAGTTAAGCCAAATTTGAGCAGTTATAAATCGTCACTTTTGATTTTCTCACTGGCTTATGCCTGTCAGTCGACCAGTCGCGAAATCTCTTTCATTAACGATTTCTAGTTTTCAGAAAGCCTATATACCGTCTTGTTCATCTTTGCTTTTTTCTTCCCGTACACGGTACACCGGTCTCAAAGTCTCGTTTTATTCTAGAGATTATGTGTCACAGGCCACTCAAGTCCTAGTTATGCCACTGATAGTCGTGTAAAAGTAAAACCGTATTAGTTAATATAGTTATTAWATATAGATTTTTTACTATAGGTACAGTGGAAGAACAAGGTGAGCAATCTTGTAAAATATTTGTGTAAATCAATTTAATTAATTTAAATACTTATGTTGGRCTTATCTGTATATTTTGGAAAATTGGAAATCAAATATTTTTATATAGGTAAATACTTTTCAAAATTCAAAAGAGGTATAGGTATTCATCACCTTTCAAAATGTTTTTGAAACGAAAGCACTTTAACTTCCAAGTGATTTTTTTTCTTATGTGTTTTGGCATGTTTAATTTGATGGTACTTTCAAAAAAGTCGTTCAAACTTAATTTGGAGGTTATGGAAAAAAAGTTTAAAACTGCAGCTTGATTTTTCTAAAAATTGTTTCCGAGTTTAAACTTAAAGTGCCAAAAAGTTATATTTTTGAAAATTTTTTTGGTTAACATATTGCGGGGGGGATCACCTGGATCTGTATTTATCTATCATACTTAATTTTACGTTATTATAAATAAACTTAATAAACCACAAAAAAGTTAATTAATATGTTTTTTTGTACTAACGGAATGCAAGCGAGTGGCCAGACGGGCATCACTGTAAATTATTTACAATAGTAAGTTGTTCACGTTGGCGTCACTGCTGAATCATTGATATAARTTATTGTGGTATAAGCAGTCTTATCATTTTTAGGACAACAGCACCCAACACTTCCCCGRCCGTCTATGGAGTGACTTTAGGGTCATTATACGCTGCWGGACTCACTGTCGTGGACAAGGTGCATAATTTATCATTGCTATTTACTATACACTAGTTGTAAATATAAACAAAATTGAAAATTTACGAGTTCCTAGTACGACAAAAAATTATGTTCTTAGGTGCTCTGTGCACAGACTTCAATCGAATAATGATTGAAAATAAAGGGTAATTATTTTTTTACATACCAATTAGTTATTTTAAAAAAATTATAATATTCAAATTGATTTAATGTTTTCAAATAATAACAATCGCAGGGATCTGTGTTTGATTTATACATTTTACTATTTTAGTATACCAAAGTGGAAAAATGAAAGTGCCTATAAAATAATTTTAGTATTTATGTTTGATATTCAGTCGTGTGTTTTTTATTTCTTGGAATTTTTGTTTGTTACCTTAAAGTTTTACTGTTTACAGGTGATGTGCAAAACATTGGGTTGTCATTATGGACACCGAGTCTATAAGGTCTATGAGTGAGTACAGTTCCAAATACAAGAGTCACTCATTAAAATCTGGAACTWATCATAGATCTAACAGTTATAAGTGAGTTTTTAGTTTATTAGTTTCTTAATTCATAGTTATACAGTTTTTGATAATTTTTGATATCTTTATGTGTAGAAACAATACCCGAACTGCTCGCAAATATTCTGATAGCTTAAATAACCCATACGAAACATCTATGGCTCCATACCAAACTACTGTGATGTTAGATGATACAAGAGATGGACAAGATGTCGTTGAAGTGCAAATATTACCTCAAGTAATTATTAATATTATCTTGTCCATATTAAAATATTACTATGATTACTAGGTATATTATTTTTTTATTTATTTTTTTTGTCTTAAATTATTCAAGTATTAGTTATTATTTATAATATTTGTTTTCAATTTTTTTTTTAAGCATTTGCATCGTTTTATTAACTTTAATAACATATTAAAGACATTTAGCATTTCTTTAAAATTGAATTACTATTCTAATATCTTATAAAACTTCATTGTGTTATTATTAATAAACATAAAAAATAAATTATCATACTACTGTTTTTTAYGAGATAAATAACTATGTTTTTATAGGATGAAAATTGGGGTGAAAACACTACAGCGATTACTGGTAACACTTCAGTGCAATCTGGATCGATGGAAGAAATGGGAGCTCTTTGGCCAGATACTGAGCAAAAAAGTGCTTTTCCAATATTGTGCCATCGTTATATAGCAACTACATTGACTGGGCTTTTGTCTCTAGTCGCTTTTCTTAGCCCATTAGCTATGCTAGTTTTACCAAAATTAGGTAATTTATTTATAGCATTATATTTTTTTTGTCCAAGTACCTGCACCTCATTTATGTATTATACATCAAACAAACATTGAATACCTAAGTATTTATTGCCTTGCAATGAAATTTAAGGCATCTAATATATTTTTTTTGAGTCTAAATTTAAATAATTGCATTAATTAAATCAAATGTAATGCATAGGGGCTGAGCTTACATAATATTTTATTAAATGTATACAGCTTAAGAGGATGCTTCACACATATATGCTGTCTCTGTCTTACAAGTGCGTAACATAGAAAATTTACGATCAGCAGATCACGTTTAGCTTCATTAGTTAGAGTGAATCGACCTGTTATGAAACTTGATGTTAAGAAAATTATCTGTGTTTGTATGTAGGATTCTTACAATASGTCAATTTTACAGCAAGTTATGCGTATATAAAAAGGCCAAAATTAAAAATGCTCATAACTCACTTAAAAACTAAGTTATCGTAAAAAAACCCTAGATACAAACACAGATAATGTCCTTACCATCAAGTTTCATAATAGGTCAACTTACTTTAATTTTTAAACTATTGGAGCTAAACGTGATGTGCTGAGTGTAAATTTTCTATGTTACGCATTTGTAAGACGGAACAAATATGTGTGAAGCGTTCTATTAACAGAGGTAAAAAATCTGAACGGTTATCCAGTAGCCAGTACAAAATTAATTTAAAAAAAATGGTTTTGGATATTGAAGAATATTGTGGAGATAGAAGAATATTTAGCCATAGATTATTTCATATCTAAGAAAATATGGGATTATTTGTTGAAAATTTTTCTTCACACAAAAAAAATTTTTTTTGTTCTAAAAATGAATTATTGACATTGTTCAATTTGTTTGGTTATTTCAACTTTCAAGTATAGCTGAATTTAAATAATTTTCCAAAAAAAAGGTATACAACAACTATTTTCTAGTTTATTTATAATATCATTACTCATTAGTCAATACTATGTGATGTGCTATGATAGATGGTAAATGTTAATATTATAAATTTATAAAATTTAATATTAACATATGATATACTAAATATTTTACATAGTTTTATGTTCCTATTATTATTGGTATTGAGATTTTTAAATTATTTGAATTAAAAAATAACATATTTTACCAGTTAAATGATTATTAAGAGAATATTATAAATTTTATTTAGAGCATTAGGAAGTACCTAATACTCTGCTGATTCTAATATGATATAAATACTATATTAAATTGATATTGTACATTTTTAATTTTTTTTAGGGGTTTTTAGTCCTGCAGCTACAAATCTTAGCCCTCAACAAAGAGAAACTTTATTAAATTGTGGCGCAGAATGTAAAGGTGTGTTAGTTTCACTGGCATTCAAAATGTTTTTGTTAGCAGTGGCGTCATGGGCAATATTCCTACGTCCTGTGAAAGCAACTATGCCTCGTATTCATGTTTTTAGAGCAATTGTCTTAGCATTGGTGTCAATTTGCTGTGGAATTTTTTGGCTTTTCTATGTTGTTCAAGTCACGGAGGGTAAGTTTTGAATTTGATGACCAATAAAYAATTTTTTTAATACATTTTAATCATATAATAATATTTATTCTCAAAGTAAACAGTTAAATTATTTCTTATTTCTATGTAATRATTACAATAAATATAAAATTATATTTTTAAGTAATAGGATTGAATTTAAATTGTATAAAGAAAAATACTATATTACTTATTTTAACTTGAACATAAAATCTAGGTAAAATAAAAAGTTAAGTAAAAAATTGAATTGGCAATGTTCACAGATGATATGTATAACATTTAAKTATTGTGTAAATTTTTAAATGTCATTGTCAAATATTATAAGAATTGTTATAAAAGCTGAATTTAAAATAATATTTATTACTTTTATTTTAGATGTCACGTTAATATTTTTCTTAAAGTTTTGCAATGTATTTAGAAAATATTATTAATATTACACTACACCCGCATATGTTGTCTCCGTCTTACAAGTATGTTACATAGCAATTGTATGCTCAGCGTATAATTTATAGCTAATTGACCTCTCATAAAAATTAAAGGTAACATTATATCTAGAGCTTCTCATCAGCTTTTTATTATATTTTAATTTTAAAACGAGATATATATTTTAAGATATACAAAAAATTTACAATTTTAAAATAATCATAATTCATTTTAAAATAAAAATATAATAAAAAGCCTTTGAGAAGCTCTAGATAATAATGTTACCTTTAATTTTTATAATAGATTAATTCACTCTAAATTTTATGTTGAGCATAAAATTTGCTGTTACACATTTGTAAGATKGAGACAACATATGAAGGTATACCGTCCTCTTATTGGTAATTTAAATGTAGTTATTTTTAGTTACAGATTTTAGTTATCCAAATACACTAGAAAATGAGAATATAGAAGGACCATAGCCGTGTCCAGGCCTCCATGGCTGGAGAGGCCATTTATAAAATTTAAATTTTTTACTTACTACAACGATCTGTATTTTATAATCTATATTTGTGACTTTTTATTTTTGTATGGAAATTATATAGCACTACTAACACTATAATATAGAAATAATATAGAAATCTATGTTTCAACCACGGTAGATTATACGCCAAGAGGCTAAGAATCTAGTCACTGGGAAGGCCGGGGCCCATCCTGCCTCCCCCCGTAGACACGCCTATGAGAAGGACTGATAAAAAAGCAAATTATTTTTATTTTCTAAATGAGATAAAAAACAATTAATAAGTTGTAGTAAACACATATGCTCTTCYTTACAGCTAATATTTGAAGTTAAATAGTTTTATGTGTAGCATATTATAGATAGTTAATGTTTTGAATAGGGAACGGATTTTAATATGATGTAAAATTATTAATCTAAGTCATATTTTTATTTCTAAACCATGACTTTAATACATACAGATACTAAATAAATGTTTTATTCAAAAAATCTGTTTTTAGTTTGTAAAAAATATGCAGTTTTTTTTTCTTAATTTCTTTAAAAATTAATTTTATTATTTTGTATTATCGGTTGTTATATTTCCTTTGATAAAAGTTTAATACTTCTACTATAGATGAAGTATTTTTTCCAATATAACCAAAAATATATGTCATAACATCCTTATTGTGGTATATAGATGTTAAAGTTATACAAATTAATTCATACTATATAGAAATTTAACTGTGTCCTTTAATCTAAGGTAATTTCAACATTTTCAACCCGTGCTCTCATAAATGTTTTTGCTGTATTTATTTGTAAAATATTTAAAATAAAATTAGCTTCAGCTTATTCAAAATTAAATGAAGTGTACACGTATGTTGAAAATTTTCTAATGTTATAAGTACATAAAAATATTTTTTTAAATTTAAATATATTCCTTAGCTATGAACATAAATAAATTATTTACTTAATGATCATATTTATTAAATTGTAAAATATGAAATTTATTTAAATAATATTTAATTTTTCAGGAGTACGAGCCACAGCTACTGGTGAAGATTTGCTCGAGTATCGTGCTTTAGTATCTTATTCTTCGTCTCTATGTGATTGTCTACTTTGTATCCATTATGTTGCCATAGTATTAATGGAAATAAGACATCTTCAGCCAGTTTTTTACATCAAGGTATATATTAAATAATATCAAGTTTACTAAAACCGCATAAGACAAAACACAGCTGATATTGATATTACCACATTATCTAAACACAATACATTTTGTAGAATTTTAAATTGTTATCAAATTGCCATTATAGATTATGGTAATTATTTTTAACATCAATGTTTTGACTTAAAAGTAAAAAAAAAAACTTATTCAAAATTTAACTAAATACTGTGGTATTCTTATAAAATTTAAAAAGTTAAGTCATTGAAAAGTAAATATTTCATTATTTCTTTAATTATTATAGTTTCATATAATTTGAATGAAGTAATTTATTTTTTATTTTTGAATTTATACAGGCTGCGAGATTTTATAAATTTCTTYGGTCTAGTGTGTGGTTATGGAAAGAACAGATTTATATGTGATCTTAAATGATTATGATAGTTATTTTATACTCTATTTGAAAGTGGTGTATGATTTCAATGCTAAATTTTATCTCTACATTGTTAAATAGAGATATATTTATCATCAATGTTATTCTGCCTAGATACTTTTAACTAGCTATTACTATGGTAAAAATAATAATAATTGGCACTAATGTTAAAAGCAAAATAATTATTAACRAATGAAGTATTAATGATAACAAAAATTAATTAATTTGCATTTTATAATATTTATTACATAATATTTTATCATTCTTAAAATAAATTATAGGTTGTTAGAAGTCCTGATGGTGAAAGCCGATCATATCCTATTGGYCAGTTAAGCATTCAGCGAGCTGCTGTTTGGGTTCTGGAACGATATTATACTGAATTTTCCATATACAATCCATACTTAGAGCGTTTACCAGTCTCTAAGTCTAAAAAAAATGCTTCCAGCTTTAAATTTTATGATATTGAGGGCATTGGAAGCAACACACTCCAAATGAGTCAATCAAGGGGTACAATGAATGGTCATGCTAGACGCCGTGACTCAAGTCATAATGAACGGTTTTATGAAGAACATGACTATGAGCGACGAGTTAAAAAGCGAAGAGCTAGGCTCTTAACAGCTGCTGAAGAAGCATTCACTCATGTTAAACGATCACATCATGATCCTGGTAATTAAATGTTATTAATTTCTACATCATATGCATGCTGTAAATGTCAAATGAGTATCCATATTTAATAAATCATTATTAACTTGAGAGTTGAAAATTTATCAATATTTTATAATTCATATTTTTACCTATTTCAACATTAGAACCATGCTTCGCATATTTTTGCATACATTAAACAGTCAAAAAGGGTATTGAACAAAAAAATTGGTTCATTATATCAAATATTTTAGGTTTCAATAAATAACTTTTGTTCTACACACTAAAATGTTATTTTTACTTGGTTTCCAATTTTATTAATGATTACAAAGTGAATTACAATTTAATAAATTCCATTTTTGTTCTGCATATCTGTGCTATTTTATAAAATATAAATTTTAAATTTTGTATAATAACAATTTCAATAAAATTAATAGATAATTAGAAACACAAAATTTTAATTTTATTGCGCTTGTTTGATATTTTTTAAGTACATGTTTGCATGCATATGTTACAATTTAAAATGCATATAAATCCGGTGTTTTATTATAATTTATAAGTTAAAAGCAATTTTTTTTTGTATTTTAAGGAGGTGGCTCTGCCATGGATCCATATGAAGCGGCTCAAGCTGTTTTTCCAACTATTGCACGATCTCTTCAAAAGTATTTAAGAGTAACCAGGCAACAGCCGAGGCATACTGTAGAGTCCATTTTGTCTCACCTTGCTTTATGTTTAACTCATGATGCTTCACCAAAATCATTTTTGGAACCTTACTTGAGTGCATCTCCTGTGTTACAAGTGATTTTTTTCAATTTATTAATTTTAAATAATATTATTTTACTTATTGTAATTTTCTATAAATATATTTTTATATTATTTTCTTTCTAGAATGAAAAAGAACAAAAATCACTTCAATCCTGGTCATTAATTTGTAATGAATTACTGACTCGAGCACTCAAAGATGGAACCGTATTTCAACTACGCCAAAATGATATTTCACTTTTGTGTACAGTACATAAGCTTCCTCATTTCAGTATTACTGAAGAAGTTATCAATCCAAAGTCAAATAGATTTGTTTTAAAGTTGAACTCTGAAACTTCTGTCTAAAAGTATTATTATTTTCAACATGTAACTATTAGTGACTTGACAGACCAAAATTTAATGTATTTTCTAGTCTTCAAATTTAATTGAGTATTAACTACTTAATATTTTTCAGTATTCAAGGTATGTCTCAAAAATAAGAGTACTATTTTTTTTTATGAATGTAGAACATGTTTATATAAAATAATAAGTTATTTCTTTCAAATTATGACCTTTTGAGTTCATTTCTAAGAATTTTGTTTTTAGCCAAGAACTCATAAACCAAGATTGGTAAGCAAATGAGTACATTTTTAAGTTAGTAATACCTAATCATCTACAATATTCCTTTAAAATCGTAAGACTGATCGAAGTAAAAATTATCAATTAAATATTTCACTATTTCCAACAAAGAAGATGCTCATCGCTTTCTCATCATACTTGCTTTCTACAGAATATGCTCTCTTAGACAATGTTTATCTTATCAATATTTTATGCAATTGAATTGAAGCAATTCAATTTTCAAATTTTTAATTTTTAATTTGTTTACTTTTACACATTTTATTGTCATTTTGTAGTTCAACATTTCTGCACCGATCATGACATGATACTTGTATTAATTTTTATAGATTAATAATGTTTTAACTATTTGCTAAAATATTATTTTATGGTTTACATTGTCAAGATGCATACACTAAAATTAGTATGGGACATACCTCATGTAATTATAGTATTGATGAGTTTTTTTAGAACACATCATATTATTTGCTAATTTTTGACAACTGATATCAATTAAATAATTAAAATATTAGTTGTCCATCCTATATATATTTATTATATATAATTTTATATCATACTTTTGTAAAATAATAGATTGATCTGCACTTTTCTCCTTGATCTTAATAAATTAATAATAATGACATCATTTAATTTAGTTTTTCTTCCATATTTTTTAATAATAAAATAATTTTTAAAATTACTGTTTTTTTAAATTTATGAAAATTTTTTATTATTTCAAAAAGACTGTTAAATAAAAGTGAATTATTTTTTCTATTGAAATATTTTAAAGCTCAATTCATCGGGGCCATATACCTATTTTTTTTATTACAATAACATTATTGCCATAATGGTCCAAACATTTATTCCTTGCAATGTGTCAAGATATTTTTATCACAGTTTTATTTTCAGTATTATTTTATTTTAAATTTTATTACTATTATGTTTTATACATTGAAGTTTTATAACTCATTTAAATTAGTTTTTTTTAGTTTATTAACTTTTTATATTTTAAATTATTATTTTACTAGAGATAAAAATATATTATTGTATTTAATTAGCCTACATTTAGTACCTGTTTTATAAAATTATTGTGGTACTCAATATTGTTTTTGGGCTAAATGGGTCTCTATACGCACAAAAAAATATTCTAAATGTAAATATAAGATTATTTTTACTCAATGTATGAATTGTAAACTTGGTTAACTAATAACATTATAATGAATACATTTTTGTAGTGCAATTTTTTTATACATATTTCAACATTTGTTTTATACCAAATTATATTTTAGTTTTAATTATAAGTCCCAAATGTAATTTATGTGACGTATATGACAATTATTTATCTAAATAAAAACATATTAATGTAACATTTTAAAAATGTTAATATTTTATTACGAAATATGAAGAAAAAAAATGTGTTACCAATTATTTAATAATTTGAATTTTATTTATATTTTATTGGTAATTATCGACAACTTAGTAATCAATATAAATTTATTGATATATATATATGTGTAAATTAAGTTGCACTGGTATACTATTGTACAAGACTTGAATTATGTGTTACATTATAAGATATTTTGTTATAATGTTTTCATTTAAATTTGAAAAAAACTCTAATTTTTGGTTAGTAAAATACAATATAGATTAGACAGCCGAGTCTAATGTACAGTAGGTAATGTAGTTTAACCACCAACTGGTGTACCGTGGTCAGTTGATCACACAAAAAATGCAATCTTCCTAGTTTCAATAAATCCTCGTATATCTTTCACTCTACTATAGTATATCGTGATAGTACACAAATTAATCGAAACTGTTGATTTTCTTTGTGAATTATTATTTTATTTAAAATAATTTAGACAAAATACGTACTTAAATTTAAATTGCTGATGCTAGAGCATTAAACTCATAATATTGGTGTAGCTTAATAATCTATCAATGATGCTGTGTCATAATAATTGTACCAACAYGCCATCAATATTATAAATATAAATTTCAATAAATCACATAGCATTACACTATTACAGATAGCCATTTAAAACTCTGTTCAGAACAAGAAACATATATTTCTGACATTTCTGTTGGCAGATATTTATATTACCGCTTATGATAGGAAATCAACAAAAAATGTCTTTGGTTTGGATGTGGCTTAAGGTAGGTAGGTCGTTAGTATATCTGTATCGGATATTGCAGATTAATTTTCTCTGTATACATAATAATAATATTTTGTTATTACATGTCAATAAACAGCTGATAAAAGTAAAATAACATTGATGGATACCTACTAAAAATATATTTTATAAATTAATTTGTTGGGTTCTATTATTATTGGGTAGCCTCGCTCTTTATGTTATCATTGTATATTAATATTTCTGATTCACTTATTATGCCTTATAGCATAGATTGTAAATATTCTTAAAAAAAAAAAATTAATTCTTATAATATTTTAATACTTTATCAATGATTATATGGCATAGGTACCTAGATTGTTT